GGTGCCAAACAGCGAAAAGGAAGATCAACCGGCGTGCTGTTGCAGACTCGGCTATAACCGCTTAAGCGGTGTCTACGCCACAAAGAAGAAGAAGATATATTGTCACGATTTTATTATTACGAGAATTCTTGTCCGTAGTAATAGCCACTGCACATGTTTCAAGCAGCTTACTAAACTTTTAAATACGAAACAAGAAACCGAGCAAACTATAAATTTGTCCTAGTTTCAGTGGCAATGTAATGCAGCTGACGGCTGCGGCTTTCAAGTCGTCATATTAAGGAGAAAACTACCACTTGCAACTACTTACACATACAAAATTGGTAAAGATGATACTGTAGAAAGAAAATCACTTTGGCGCTGAGTGTTGTAAACCACTTTTTTATGAAGAACGTAACTTCGAATGCACCTGCCGCGGCTGCTAGGCTTTCATTGTCTCATTACGGTCTTCTTAAAACAAACACGCGCCAAATGCGGTTGAAATGAGGGGATTTCACGACTGCTATCTTTTATAGCTTACAAGTGTGCTTGTGCTGGTAGCAATACTAAAGTTCCTCAAGTTTCTAAACCAGTTAAAAGTTTATGAACAACCATCCAGAGCATTCATCTCAGCAAATGTGAACGTAAGCTTCCTGTGAAGTGAGCAGCAGCGAGACGACAGCCAGCCAATGTTGTTTTAGTGTGTGTGTCCTTTTGTTTTTTGCATTGTTGCTTGAGCCGCACTCGTAAACTGACGAGACCTTGAATAGCCGTCGTTGCCATCAAATGATTCGAAGAAGCACTGTCAGTGATAGCGTTTATACGCCATAATTATCATGGCTGTTGGGTTGCTCATCGCAATGTGACAATTAGCCACACGTTGGCTTAGCAATCCAATTAGTTTTTGTTGCGAAGCAATCTACTTGGCGGTCCAGTAGGTAATAACATCATTAAGTGTAATGGTAGACGAAATTCGTAAGTAGTCAATATGGGACTAAGAGGGCTAACGTTAAATCCCACTTCTCTCAAAAAAGCGTCGAGTTAACGAGTTAAAATAATACTTTCCAACTACCAGAATGTCATGAAATGTATTATTACTGGCGATGAGTTTTGAATCAATGTTTACGACCCGAAAACAGACGAGCAACCGGCCGAATGTCGTGGGAAAGCTGAGCCGAAGCCGAAAAAAACACGTCTAAGGAGGTCAAAGGTCAAGATTATATTGACACTTTTCTTCGATCATGGAGGTGCTGTGCACTCCATATTCCTTCTGTCCGGCCAAACTGTAAACAAGGAATACTATTTGAGTGTTCTGCGCAGTTATTCCGGAATGATGGGTCTAAAGTCTTGGTTTTTGCACCACGATAATGCACCGTCGCTTACTGCATTGATTCTCTCTGAATTTTTCGCCAACTTTTCGGACAATATCGTGCCACAACCTCTGTATTCGCCTGTTTTAGCTACGTGTGACTCCTTCAGCGAGCTCAAACGACCGATAGGGGGAACCCGATTTGAGTCAATGTGAATCGCTACGCGCATTGAAGGCTATTCCGAAAATTGACTTTAAAAATTGTTTCGAGGATTGAGAACAACGCTTGCACGGGTGTATTGGAGCTACTTTGAGGGCACGACATATATGTATAATATAATATTTTGAAGAATAAATTAAGAATTTTAAAATTATGAACAAAGTCTTGCTATTTTTTGATCTAGAATGTAAGTTATATAGTTGGGTTTCATATATGTTTGATATTTAAATACAAAATAAGCTAATGTTTTACGCTGGGATCGCATTATTTTACGAATTTCTCCTGCAAAGAAAGTACTTTGGCATTTTTTTATTTTTTGAGGTTTATCTCACCGAAGTGTTCTATCAACGAATCCATTAATTGATACTATGTAGGAAGTTTCGCCGTGTTATTGAAAGCAAATGTCGCCGAGGTCACGAGCTTCAATTTCAGGCATCAAACAGTCGGTTGTGACTTGTGATCTGTGGAACAAAAGCTATTAAAAAAAGTATATCTACTTGAGTAACCCGTTAGGTATCTGCAATTATGCCTAAAATCTTTGACTTTTCAAGAGTCATATACTGTGATCAAGTAATGTATTTAACCCCCCCATTTACGCATTCACAATTTTTTCAGAAATCCCAACAAATTATTTAGGTTTCTCGATAGCAAAGATCACATAAAGAAAGAAAGAAAGTTAATAGCGGCTGTTCCGAAACTATAGTACAAACATCTTTCTTAGAACAAACATAAAGGGGTATAAAAAGGTTTTAACTTGATTTTGATCGATCATTTTGTGGTGACCCAATGGCTCGGAGATTATAGCGTTGCCTTGGACAATAATAAATGCTAAATTTCGTGAAGATAACTTTCAAATAAAATACTTTTACATAAATGGATCAGTTAATAATCGTTCTGTTTGTATGGGAGATATGTGTGCTACAGTGGTTTGATCTGAACAAAGTTTTCGGGATGGTCGCGTTGCCTTGGATGATAATCTATCATAAATTTCATGATGCATATACTATTGTGATTTGATATCGGCGGTTTTGACAAATTAGCAGCTTTTTGGATGGAATTTCAGATCGAGACATTTCAAAGTGAGGGACAGACGGCTAAATCAACTCAAGTCCGCACTATAATCCTTTGGGTCTCTCTTAATATAACCCCAGACGAACAGAATGAGAGTAAGAAGACCGTACAAAATATAAGTATATTTTGGGAAAATTAATATCTTATTTTATGATAATTGGGTCATTAAACGTTGGAGTAGTCTCTGTACTCAATAGCAATAATACAAATTAATTTTCCAAAATTGTCTTTTTTCTTGAGGTTAGTAACCTTAAACGTTACCATTAAATATTTCTACAGGACCCTTTACATACACAAGTACATCCAGTCATCTCCAGCTTTTACTTTTATATGGGTAAACGTCGTTATTGTGCTCAAACAAGTGGAAACCAAAACTGTTTTACAACGCAGACACATTAAAAATGTCGACCAGCTAACTTTATGACTTTTGGGTACTCATCACTTTGCCAGTGTCCGTAAATGAATCTGACCGTAAGGTAAGCATGTAATTTTCAGCACACTTTTCACAACAAGGACGATTAAGACAAGACAGCAGGCGAAGCGGTTAATTAAATGAACATAGATTTTTAACTTCAAACTGATACTGGTTGATGGATTAGATATTTCGGCATATAAAGAAGGCTGGCTACAAAAATAAGCTCGATGTTTGGGTACCATATGAATTGTCTGTGAAAGTTTTAATGGACCGAATTAGCATCTGCGTTTCTTTGTTGAAAGGAAATGAAATCGAATCATTGCTGAAGCGAATGGAAAGAGGAGACGAAAGCCGTTCCCACGACAGTCGGGTCTGCGAAAACCCGTTCCGGTTTCTATCCTTCTACCGTTCTACTTCTGCCGTTACAACAACAACAGGAGACGAAAAGTGGTCAGAAGACGCAAAGAAGTCAAATACGACAATTATGTGAGAAAAAGATCACGGCCTAAGCGTAGTCAAACTCAACGAATGGTCGCCGAACTGACGCCTCAAGAGGTTATGCTGAGCGTTTGGTGGGATTGGCACGGAATCGTCCACTATGAGCTGCTACAGCCTGGTCAAACGATTTATTCTACATTTTGCTATCAACAACTGATGAGATTGAAGCAAGAGCAAGCAAAAGAAAAACAGCCAGAACTGATCAACATAAAGGACTACTTCCATCAGGACAACGCTAGACTACACACATCTTTGATGACTCGGCAAAAACTGGGAGAGCTTGGCTGGGAAGTTTTGCTGCATCCCCCTTATAGTCTTGACCTTGGACTATCATTTGTTTCGGTCAATGCAGCACTCCCTTAATGGAGTAAAGTTGGCTTCAAGAGAAGCCTGTGAAAATTACTTGTCGCAGTTTTTAGCCGAGAAATCAAAAAAGTTATACACTAACGGAATAGTGTCTCTAGCGGAAAAATGGCCAAAAGTGGTCGACCAAAATGGTACATATTTGGTTCACTAAAGTTCGTTATAAATATAAATACATAAGTTGAAGTTTGATTAGAAAAGACTTTTTCGACTACTATATATGTATGTATATATGACGAGTTGAATTCCTGGTGACTGTCTGTCTGTACCTTTGTCTGTCCGTGTAAAAATTTAGACATCTTGATAGGACTTGGTACACGTGTTCCTCGGTAAAAAAAAAGAGGACGTAGATGAACGAAATCGGACCACTGCCACGCCCACAAAGTCCTATTAATCGAAAACATATATATACGTAAGCAAAAAATTAAGATATAGAACTGTGATTTGGCACAGGAGATCGCAGTAACAAGGGACCTCTCTGGGCTAAGAATTTTGAGAAAGTGGCATGAGCTCGCACTCTTTTTGGTTTAATCCCTACTGGGGTGCTTCTGTCAAAACCTGGTACCGCCCATTTTTTGATAAAATCACATATATCGAGACCTGACCGACTGATTACTATTAAATTTGTTCATAACATTCTTCTCATATTCCTGTCACAGTGCGAAAATGGACGAAAATGAGCGAAATCGGACTACAACCACACCTACTTCCCATTAAGCACAATTTTATATTACATTTGATTATTTTACTTTTCAGTATACAAATCAAGAAGCAATTACTATAACGGGATAAATCTTTGCATAAATGATGCCTTTAGAGTATGCCATCTTTGATCAAATATTGTCCAAATCTAACCGAAACTGTTCAAGACACTAGTTTCCGAATATGTTGACCTCAGAATTTATAGTGGCTATTTAAGGGACCATTAAAGGGGAGGAGGAGAGAAAGGACCGAAAACCATGCATGAAGTTGTTTACCCGTCTTAGAGCTCATTCCACTTTATCTTTTGTTCCGGTCGCTGCGGAACGACCTCGCTGGAATACTGTTGACAGCAGAACAGGGTATCAAAAATTGCCCGCTAAGACGACTCAATTCTTTTGAATAAAAAACGTACGATTAATATAATATATCTAATATAACATCTTTTATTTTACATTTTTTTCATTTATATACCAAAATTTCCATTTAGTATACAGAGTGGTCAAAAACTACACATATGTATTAGATCCGATTAAAAAACACAACAAATAAATGCCAACATCTAAGAATCTTAAGCTTTCTTTCGTTTCTTAAGCGAAGGCAAGCCACTGTCAAACTCTGATGTGGTGAGGGCTCGGGAGGCAGGCAACATTTTCACTAGTTTATTGACTTGCTGCCGATTTGGATTGCGTACTTCGTTGGTCACTGTGGTGGAGAACATACGCTTTTTGGCACGTTTTTCCTGTTTAATTTTTTCGGGATCCCTACAAATAAGAAACAAAAATTATATTGAAATGAAGTTTCATTATTTTCTGGAGACTTAAAGTTAATATATATATTTGGTATCTTTACCTTTCTGAGTAAGTCAAGCGGTTCGTGGGTGGCGCCGGTTTTGGCTCAGAATGCTTCTTCGTAAATGTTTTTGGTTGATCCTTCAGAGCAAAGCTTTTTGCAAAATGACCCATATGTGCGTTTTTGATATTAAATATCGGTTTCAGCTCTTTCGGGAAGGCGGAATAGAATTTCGTCCAGGATACGAAGGCTGACGGCGAATGGATTTAAAATGTTATGTAGAATTTTTTTCTAGATAGTGTTCTTTTTAATATGTACAACACAAATCACGACACACCAAAATAAAAACACATACAAAAAAAAAATATTAAGCAGCATACAACATTTCATCATAGTAAACATGATCGCAATAAAAACTTGTGGTTAGTCATGCATTTCATACATTCAAAATTAATATTATTCAAACACAACCATTTTACGCTATTTCAGCAAACACTTTTTAAACTTTCACATCGTTACGTTTATTTTAATTGCTTCACTTCATCAACACACCAACAAAAAACAAAAACTGACAGTTTGTGGAAATAAATTGTCGTCACCTACCTTTACACGCTTTATTATGCATTTCTTTATCATCAGCTATGAGTTCTTGACATTTGTGCTGCAGATTTGACGCCGCTTCTTGCATTGTGTTCGCTTCATCGTCATGCTCAATGAGCGTCTTTAAATAATCATCCATATCAACTTGTGATATTCTGCAAAAATATGGATTAAGAGAAAAAGTTGTCATAATTACATTTGTGAAACGAACCTTATGCGCTTATCCTCCAGAAAGCGTACAAACTGTGCCTCGGAGGGTGAGAGCAGCAAAAGCGCTTTACCGCTGTGCCCGGCGCGTGCGGTGCGGCCAACTCGGTGCACGAAATCTGCAATCTTTTGCGGTGGGGAATACTGCACAACCAAATCAACTTCAGGCACATCAATGCCACGACCCGCCACATCCTGCCAACAAAACATGATATAATTAAAGAAGTATATTTCGTTAAATACGCGTATGTATTTTACCGTTGTGAGCAGCACACCAGATTTACACTCGCGAAAGCCATTGAACACACCTTGTCGTTCGGTTTGTGTCATTGAGCCATGCAACCTAATCAATTTATGAAATCAAAATATGTTTGTTACAAATTTTCGCCATCTTAAACTCACTTAAAAAATCGTAAGCCCTTAAGTAACGGAGTTTCATCATCATCTTCACTTTCGTCCTCCTCCTTAATCACTTCCTCGTCATCTTCATCGAGCACTTTTTGTGTCAGCAATTCATTTAGCAAATCATGATGGAAATTTACCATTTCCATTGTGCTCATAAAGACGATGGCCTTTAAGCGCTGTTTATCACCGAACTCATGCGCTAAAATGGCGCACAAAGTAACCAAGCGCAGTTTTGGTGGCACAACTGTAAAATGCAATTTCAAATTATCTGGTATAGTCATTATGCTCGTCTCTTCATCGTCATCCGGTGCGTCTGCTGTTAAAGCTTCAATGTCGCTCTTAGTATAGCCATTAGTTTTAGGTATGCTCGAGGCGTCTTCATCGCTGTTGTCAACGAAAACGGGTTCTTTCAGTGTGAGACCAGCCAGTCGTTGCACATTGGCAGTAAGCGTTGCCGATAATAATAAACGTTGTAGATGTTCTTCGGTAACAGTGCCATCTTCAGCTGATTTGGAACGTTGTGTATCGATGGCTTCTACAATTTGTTTGACATCACGTTCATAACCCATTTCCAACAGGCGATCTGCTTCGTCTAGCACTAAAAATTTTGTTTTGTGTACTTTAAAAGTCTCGGTGTGCAGCAAATGATCCAACACGCGTCCAGGCGTGCCAACTAATATGTTAATGCCTTTACGTATGCGTGCCTTCTCTGCCTTGCGACGTTCACCGCCCATGAGCACACCGGGTACGATCCACGTAAATGGTTTGACTAGCTTTTGAAAAAGTTCATACGTTTGCACGGCCAATTCGCGAGTGGGCACAATGACTACGGCTAATACGCCTGAGTCACGTGTTATCTTTGGACGCACCGCCTGCAATTTTTCGACTACAGGCAAAGCGTAAGCTAAAGTTTTACCCGAGCCAGTCTGTGAACGTACAAGCAAATCTTTACCTGTTAGATAAAATTATAATCATATTTGATTATAAATTAAATTTTTATATTTCATATGTACTTACCTTCTAGCGCCAGTGGAATTGTCTTCTTCTGCACAGTCGTTAGTTCAACAATACTCAGCACATCTGCTAAATTCTTCACCGCATGTGGGTGAATGTCGAGTGATTCAATTTTTGTACCATCAAAAAGTCGTTCCGCTATTGGTTTAACAAATCGCTGGCCCATAACAGGTGTATTAGGAGTTTTTGCAAAGAGACCAACTTTCTTAACTGATTTGTCTTCGGGTCTAACAACACGGAATGCATTTGCTTTACGTGCTGCTAAATTCACACCATTTTCTGGGACTTCAGCACTACTTTCCTCATTTTGTGGATTTTTCTGCTTCAAATTGTTGCGTTGATTGAAAGGTTTCTTTGCATTTTTATGAAATGATATCTTTGCATTTTTATGAAATGATTTCTTTGTAAAATTATCTTTTGTCTCTTCACTTTTCTGTTTGGCTATGTTTCGCAAACGCTCAGCTTGACTAAGCTTTTGTTTTGGTTTGGGTCGCTCACTCGGTACGGAATTCGTGGCAATATTAAGTATGAGCCCATTATCCATGGAATTGTTGGACGACTTGGGGTTCTCAAATTTACTAAATTCGTTATGTGTATTAGATGATTCGACAACATTTGGGCTCGTAGTGACACTTTTCTTTTCCGAATTTTTGCTCTGAGAAAGTTGTACTACAGGTTTTTCCGCAGGTTTTTTGCCTTCATCAGTCGTTGGGAGCTTTTTAACTGGACGTTTACGCGCTACAATTGCTTTTATTTTATGTTGAGGTCCGCCGAATGAAAACGAAAAGCCACCATCACTTCGCGATGTTGCACCTGCAGAGGTCTTCTTTTTTGCAGGAACCTGAGGTAAATAAGCTTATTAATATTAATTTTCGCTTTCAATATCATTCGTTGGTAACTTACAGATTTATTTCGTGCATTAGGTGGTCCAGTCGCTATATTTAAAGAAATATCCATGCTAGCGTGTTGAATTATTTGCTTATTTGAATACGGCCAGTTGCAAGCATGTGTTCACGCAGTTTTGTTTTGTTCGCAATATTCTTCAACCATTCACAATGGTGTATGAAAGAAGTCGATAACATTGCTTTTTTACTTGAATTGAATGTAATTTAAGGTAAAGATACAAATTTTTAAAACAAAATATGGAAAATCATTCCAGTTTATGTAAAAAGTCACTTCAAAAGATAACTCAAGTTTAAAAAAAAACATATTGCAGATTAAAGTCATAAATGTTACGAGTTCAACCCTGTCACATCATTCACAATTTTTTTTATCGTTCCAAGCATCTCGTTTTGGTTTTTTAATTTGTGCTTTGAAAATTATATTTATAGAATTTAACTTTCGCGACTTTGTGTTTGTTTAATATTATTTGTATTAACTGCTGTTACAATTATGCGTAGTCAGTGCTGAAGTGAAAATAGTTATATCAACAAATAAATAAATAAATTATCGCGGACCAACAGTGACACGAAAATGTATTTGGTTAATTGTTCAGCGGAAGGAAGCGTTGAACAGGAAGCATATCAATATCCAGCAAAAATACTTGTTTTTTGAAGCTTTGTATATACAAGGTAGGAGTGAAGTGCTTAGTAGTTTTGTGGTTTAATGAAAGTATCTAGGCAATAAGAAACGTTGTCTCAAAATGTCTGCACATTACGAATATTTTCAGGTTAGTACGTATGTTTTCTTTATTGAAGCCATATTTATTGTTTGGAGATATTGCTATATTTAATTAATCTTTTTCTTACTAATTTTTTAATTAAGGGAAAAGTAATCGCCATGTTGTTTTTGTATACTCATATACCCTGGAATATTTCTGTGGAATCACATATCCCCCTTATGATAGTCCAATGGATGTAAATCTGAACTTCCAGAATACTGACAATATTCCACTGCTCGTGGTTTTGACTAATTGTGATTGAAAAGAATCTTTTTTACCACTGCTTTTAAAACATACTGCTGTTAGGCTTACCTCGTTTTAACCCATTTTCAAAGAAGTGAAGAGGTGTAACTTTACAGGAAAGTCACCATCAATTCATTATAGCAGCTAGATGGTGATCGCGTTGAATAATATTGGAATAACATTTTTTGCATTTTTGGAAGTTTTTGCGTAGATTTTGTTGTTTTTTGTGAAATTTTATTTTATCAGTAAAAGGGTCAGCTGTAGACGTTTGTGCAAAATAGTCGACGGTGCAATAAGCAAACGTTTACGCAATACTAAGATTTTGAAAAGCTCGTATATTATACTTCTGCTTTCTCTACTCTTATTTTAAGTATACAGAAAAACTATTATTTGGGCAAATATTTATTCTGAACTTCAATGAGACATACCATCTTTAAAAAGTTACCAATAGGTACGGGGAATGCATATTCGATATCTGGAGGCTTGAACAGTTTTGTCCAATTTGACCAAATTTAGACTAGGAATGCAAAGATTTATCCTGAAATAGTCAGATGGAATTAAAATTATGTTGTTTGGGTAGTGGACGTGGTTATAGTCCGATTTCATTCATAGTACGAGTTTTGTAACGTAGGAATATCAAGATGGATGGAATAAAATTGGTATCACCGGTCTTCCTAAAGGTGGATCGGGTTAGGGTGATCGTCCAAATTTATCACCGGCTTTTATGAAGCACTTTTGTGCCAACTCCGGTTTAGAATTGATTGTTTCTGCATCATTCAATCCTTTATTTATCGCACTGTATATGGTTCTTAACAAAACCGTTATACGCGGAATAGACAGGGTTATCATGTGCCTTCATCTCGTCATCTGAGGTATAAAACGGATTTCTTCCGCGCAAATTTGGGTTCTACCGCTTGATTGGGTTGGGAGATATGTATATACATTAAGTCGTTTAGGGGGCGAGTTTGGGTCTACTTTTCAAAGATTTTCAAACCACATATGCCTCTTAATGCAATTCGTTGTACCCAATTAAAGTTTTTTGGCTTAATTTAGTTCTTGGTTATGGCTTTTTACGAGTTTTCGAATAATGTAGTTTTGTGGGCATGGCAGTGACCCGATTACACTCATTGACAATAACGAACTTCTTATGGTGCCAGGGGACATGTGTACCAAAAACCGTTTCAGCAAAATTTTTATTTTTTTTATTCAACATAGTTGTCTTCAATGATGATACACTGATTTTATAGTGACTTTCCAACTTTTTAATACCATTTATGTAGTATGATTTGCCGTTTGCTTCAAAATAGGCCTCAGTTTCGGCGATCACCACATCATTTGGCGAAAATTTATGCCTAACGAGTATTCGTTTAATTCGAGTATGCTGCCTATAGTATGTCAGGCCGATATATCTACAAGGTGGGTTCCAAATTAAACTGGGCTTAAAAAAAAACAGAGCAAATGGTTTCTTTCGGCAAAATCAATTTATTTTATTCAAAATAGTCTCCTTCTGCTTCAATACAGTTTTTTGCACGGTCCAAAAGCATGGCGAACGAGTGTTTTAACTCCGTTCCCACGACAGTCGGATCTACGAAAACCGGAACGGACCCGGATTTTTATCCGGCCAAGGACTGTCAACTCGGCAGAATTCTGCCGTTACAACAACAACAACAACAGTGTTTTAGCTCCCGTTCCCACGACAGTCGGATCTACGGAAACCGGAACGGACCCGGATTTTTATCCGGCCAAGGACTGTCAATTCGGCAGAACTCTGCCGTTACAACAACAACAACAGTGTTTTAGCTCGTTGGCCGGTATGACGTCCAGTATGCCGGTACAAACCTTTTGAATAACATCTAAGTCTGCATAACGCTTTACTTTCATGCGCAAATGCATTTTTCTGCAAAGGAAGAAAACGCACGGTGCCATATCAGGTGAATACGGGGAGTGGTTAATGGTTAATGTGTGATTTTTGGTCAAATAATCGGTCACAATCGTCGATCGAATCTTGGATTATGAGCAATTTTTTGGTCGTTAGTCAACTTATGCGGAACAACACCTTTCGTAAGCCCAAACGTTCGGTCAAAATGTGATAAATCGTTGTTTTGGAGATGTTCAATTCCATTTTCATGAATTTCAAAGATGATTTTGGCTGATTTTTAATGAATTCACGCACAGTTTCGATGGAATTTCCTGTGACCACGGATTTTGATTGGCTCACATGTTGATCGTCATTTATGTCCTCACGACCACTTTGAAAATGTCGAAACCACTCATGTACTCTGCTACGGTTTAGGCAATCATTGACATAAACTTGTTTCATCAATTGAAATGTTTGTTTTACCAATTTTAAAACAAAATTTAATGTTGGCTCTTTGTTCGAAGCTCATTTTCGCACCGATAACACAAACATACTGACATTTAAAACGCAATAATTTCTCTTCCAATCTATGAAATATCATGGAAATTTCACTGGACAATCGATAAAAATAGTAGACATATATATGGCACCAGGAGCGCTGGATTCAAAAAGTCCTGTTTTTAGATGTTATAAACAACCATTAGTTGAAGAAAACTATAATACTTTAGCAACATGTTGTTAGAATATAAAAATGGAAGCCTTTTTTCTGCGAATGTTCCCTCGCTTTATGCTTTGGTATGACATTCGGATCTATTTTCACTTGACTCACTTCTCTTCCCTGATATCTCATAAGTCCAAGACTAATCAAATATATATATTCTAGAGTATGCAATTACCTAAAACTTTGATAGAGTGAAATGCTTACTTCTCAATCGTTCATATGATTGGGAAGTAAGCATTTCGCACTATCAATATTTTGGGTATCACTCCCGTATCTATTGTGCCCGCACATACACTCAAGCAATTCAATTACTACAACCCATTTGAAATTAGTGATTTTGTAATTTATAATCCCTTCTATAGTATAGTATAACTGAAAGGGAGAAATATGTACATATGTATATTTTCTGATTGTTTCATGGCTTTTGTCATTCAATAGGAGGTTAGTTGATTGTGTGCGCCTGTACAGTTAATAGCAATTTGTTGCAATGTCATGCCAGTTAAAATGGCTTATAACTCTTCTGTCTTATTTGGCTTTGGTTGTTTCTGTGGCGCTATTGGCACTTGAGCATGTGGCAGAAAGTGATTTTATGACCTTCTTATTTGCTTTCCGCTTTCCGCTGACAAAGGTTTTCATTTACACTCAAAACAAATATTTCGAAAAACCATTTGAGCACGTACATCAAATTGAATATGCGACATGGAAACCGATTGATTTTAATGCTCTGATCGAAAAGGATTATTTTATTTATTATTTATATTATTCAATGCAAAGTCATTTAATAGCTGGGAATGAAAAAAAAAAACAAATATTTACATTAATTAACAGGCTAACAATTTTTCGAAAAAGTTAAATGTCAGACGGATGTTGAAGGAATACTCCCCTAAATAAAACGCATAATATTTAATTGTCAGCTTCAAAGTAATCCCCACCAGATGTAATACACTTATGCCAACGATTTTTCCAGTTCCCGAAACACTTTCCATGTGCATTTTTTGGGATGGCCTTCTGCTCCTTCGGAGAATATTGTTTTATCTCTGCGATCTACTGGTTCCACGGGGGGAGGGGGGGGAGGTTAATTTCAGTTTGGGAAACAAGAAAAAATCATATGAAGACAAATCTGGTGAATACGGTGGTGGTTATTATTATTATTATTAATCGATGGCATTGACTTCGTTTTTGGTTCTAAATTCGGTCACAATCGTAACGTTTTTGAAAAAATTCAGTTTTATCGGAACGAGTCGAGCACGAATGTATTTCACACCCAAAATATCCAGCAAAAATCAATGAAATGGATATCGAAAACTGTCAAGCTCTCATGTCATCTCTCTAGGAGGAGGAGGATCCTTCATTTTTTTAATATATTCATCAGCTGAAGAGGTTGTCGTCCAGTACACAGGCATGTCTTCAACGATCTCTCGGTTTTTGGTAAAACTGAATCACCGTAAGACGGTTCCTCATACGAAATTTGACATTTTTATCCTCACTAAAAATCTCAAGGCAAAGTGTCATAATGGGAACGAACC